CCTCTCCTCCTTATTTTCACCCTCACGTCGCCTCATACCATCTTTCCTCGAAATCTCTCTTAAGAGACCCCCGGACGATTTCAGATCAACAACATCTCCCACCGTGCGTGATGGAGGTCTCCGAATACCATCATGATGCACATCTCGCTCTCCCAAAAATAATCGATCAGCCGTTTCATTATCATACTCATGATGATCAGCAGAATATGACATACCACTCCTCGACGACATCACCCAAGACTGCCCCTCACTTCCAGCGCATGTAACTGCCCCATCTGAACGAATCGACCAACGCCTCCCTCCGTCTCGAGCACGTCGCTCCTTCTCCCGTTGCAGCGACTCTATCTCACGCCGTACTATGTCAGCCCGTCTGCTCCCATCTACGTTCTTATTCAAATCTCGCTCGCCCGCAGGATACTCCTCAGGATCGTCCTCCTCAGTAGGTCGCCCCTGATGACAGGGGCATCGGCATTGACAGCATCCATTGTCGTCGTAGAAATACATGGAAAATTCACCATAAACTTCACCAACTTTTTTCGCAGAATTCCCAGGAAAAAAATCTAAATTTTACATCATTTTTCCCAAAAAAAGACTCAATTCTCATCGATGAAACAACGTGACGCCACTGAAGTACTCCCCCCTTGCAAACGTCACTTCAGCATAAGCATTCGACCCTTCCTTAGATGAACCCAACAGCAGGATGTTTCCGAGGACAACAAGAACATGTAGAATCAAGGTGGGTGTTGGCTCCAATCCAGCTGACTTTGTACCACATACCGGTACCTGACTTGGTGATATCACTCTAGGATGTGGTGAAAGTACGCGATACACACAAACAGGGATAATTACGTCAGTCGATTTACGTCACATTCTCCATGATGAGCACGAAACGCTGCAGCATAAAAAGTCAACAAGTACTATAAAGCTTTGATAAGACGTAGTCGTCACCTGTATCGGCAGCACCCTAGAGGTTAACTACTACTACTACTACTACTACTACTACTACTACTACTACTAGTACTACTACTACTACTACTAGTACTACTAATACTACTACTAATACTACTACTATTACTACCACTACTACCACTACTACTACTACTACTACTACTACTACTACTACTACTACTACTACTACTACTACTACTACTACTACTACTACTACCGTAAAAGTCTGTGCATATCCTTTTCGCTGGCATATCTTGGCCGCCTGTCATCGCCCTCTGCTGCAGGAGGATCGCTGTTGTGATCAGCCCATGGGGTTTGAACCGAGCATCGGGGGGCGTCTGAGGTAACCAACTACACATACATCAGCCGGGCTCTCTCTAGTGCACGAATCTGTCTAGGGTAATTCAACGAGTATTGTGCAGGGCATGCCTATGTGTTTAGCGCACGTCATAGAACGGCTCCTAGTCGGCCACTATTGTTTGAACTATCGTTGAATTATCAAGATACCTATAATGTTCCCGGGAGGAGCTCATTTTGAATTTCCCACGTATGGCTAGTAACACATTCTTCAACCAGTTTCCCATGTAAATGTCATCACATTAGAAACACCATTTTCCCCATTGTTATCAATTCCTGAAGATCGTTATCTACCAAAGCTATATAGGTCCCTGGATGGAATTATAACAGACTTGTCGAATTCCGCAGGTTTGAACTATGCCTATAGCTACGATATGCCTATAAACGAAACTAGTAACGACTTCAGACTTATGATATATACCCATCAACCACGACGGTCACTACCTCTACTCTTTTCTCGGAGCAACCGTTTGTTATCTTCCTCATCTCGGGCGTAGGGAGTATCACTACTAAATACACTCGATGTGTGGTCATGACGACGGGCAGCTGAGGAAGACGACTATAGTACAGCCAACATGGCAATAGATGAGCTCACTGGTGGCAGACCGTGAGGGTCTCGATGGAGTTTCTAGTGAGGCCGTACCTCCCTCGTCGAAGCGGAAATTACTACCGTATAAAGAACGGACCTACAAGGGAGATTCCCTTAGGGGGAAGGATCCTGGACATTTTTATAGTTACCGATTCCTCTGTAATTACTCTACTGTAAGGCGTATCATGGCCATAGGTCGACGACGACTCGGAAAGTATCTTATTTCGCGTAGCCGGATTGAGGCCCTGAGCGACACTATGCGGTAGAGACGCCTCGGAAGGAGAGGGCTTACGATAGGGGTTCGTTGGTTGTCCACAATTGTAGGCATCCCCGCGGGCAGTAAGCTACCGTTCCTCTCGTATACGGAGTAGTCGTACAGAGTCAAGGACTCTGGAGCGGGTGCGGTACGACCAGAAGGGTACATGTGAAAGGAAATACACGATTTATGGAAACACGCGGCAAAGTCGCGTTAAGTAAACTCAAGAGAGCAAGATTTTGCAAGATTTCTCAACTTCCTGAACTAGGTTCAGTTTGATCGGCTGGTTTGTCATCAGCTCCGGAGATCCCTCGAGCCAACTGTGAAGTGACTATTGCATCTCCCTAGTCCGATGACCCTCCTCCATACTGTCGATAATTTATTGGTTCATAACTACGAATGGTATGATGGGTCAGAGGTAGTAATAAGGATGGGATTCCGATCAACAGAGAACTTGCCGTTGACTCGATCACGATGGGATAAATTTGAAAATTGTATTCTACGCATAGGGATGTGTATTTGCGTTCATCGTGGATGGCAGTGTGGGAAAATATATACGTGGTCAACTACATGTGTTGGTGGCAATTCTGATTCTATTCTGATTGTATGGAAATTTCGAAAGTTTCTTGTTGATTTCTGTACACTCCTACCCGAATTAGAATGTCATCCTCTTTAATAAGTGAGGAAACTTTTGAGCTAAGCAGCTGCGGAAAGCCAACATATGTTCCTCCAACACTGGTGGGTGGTGTCAGTTAGATAAACTGCTGCACGAACTGACCAAGTATCTCCCGAGATTGGAGGATGAGACATTCCACATGTAAGTTGAGTTATGCGGAATGGAGTCTATGTGGAACTAATAGTCGAGCGTGTTGTTGTGGTAGTTATGCGCAGCAACACATCGACGGCGATACCATCAAGGACCTGAACTCTGCAATCCCAGCTGTCGTTGAGCGACTTGTCAAGGTAGTAGGAGTATATTTCGAAATGCAGCAGGTTATGCCACACAGGTTCAAAGTATCCTGAATCACGAGGGATTAGGCTTCCCAAAGCATATGTCCTCTCCTGAAGTATCCAGCTTCGGACAGTATCATGATTACTCTCATCATCGTTCCCATGACAGTGGGCGTGGTGGATATGATCAGGATGAGCCTTATTATCCGAAAAGCTATCGCTATGGCCGTTCAGAGTCACCTGGACACTCTGAGCATGGTCACTATCACCGACTTCACAGAAATCTCAGGCGCGGTCGATCCAGTCACAGTGCGCACAACAAGGGACCTCTGCCTCAACGGTCCTCTCAACCAGGGCCCCACCATCATCATGATCCGCGAGGGTTCGACAGGCCTGATGTGGGCGTCCACGAACGATTGAATCGCCTGACGGTTCCCGAAGATGATCTGAAGTCGGTCAAGCTGAATGGGAGTCTGTTACACGGGGTGAGCGCTTCGCGGCATTTGTTCCGAAGCAGACTTTCGCGGACTTGGCGTTTCTGAATGTCGGACCAACATTGTTGGTCACTCAATACTGCGATCCTCGATTGCTCGTGTGTAGCAATTCAAAGTTATAGGAGCTCTCGCCAAATGGTTCGGGACGGATTAGAAAGACATTTCAAGTAATCAGAAAGTGCAGAGAGAAAAAATCTTCAATCACAATAATTTCCGATACCGGGACTCGAACCCGGGTCGCCTGGGTGAAAGCCAGGTATCCTAACCAGCTAGACTATATCGGATGTTGTGTTACTTGCTCTGGTTGCGACCTTAGCACGGTAAGGAAGAGTTATTTTGTCTTTCAGCTAGGAGGCAGTTTGCGACATTCATTGCAGACATGTGTAGACTACGCCAATCGAGTCGGAGCAGTGAGGGTGTATTCATTCCTCCTATAGTATTACTTCTACCGAAATAGATTCTTCCGTTCCATGAATCCGTGAGAATGTCACCACATCAAGGGCAGCAGGTGGTACAACAAGGACTAGCCTGCATAGGAGCCGTATCCAGAGTGGTACATGATGTTCAAGTGAGTGAACGGATCCACTCTTGTATTTGCGGACACTCGTTGTCAGCGGGATGCCCTGGGCTTCCCAGAATGCGCTGCGGGAAAGATCGGATTGTTATCGAAATCCTCCATGGGGTCCGCAGCTGAAATGATGTTCATGACCATGCGCGGTGAGATCCCCTTGATGGCCCATCGTATGGCTTATGGTTTCATATGAGTTGTTGAGCCACAAAGTGCCTTGTCGAGTTGTTAATGTGAGTCTGCAACAGTCGAACAGTTAACAACAAACACATTAGAAGTCATCACTGCTGGGAGTTCATTCGTGAGTCCTGTCTTAATCTAACAGGACTAGTCGTATGTACACTTCGGGCCATGTGTTTTGCCGGTAGACTCTGTACTGATTCCTTGCCTCTATATATACTTCAATCACTAATCCGGCAGGTTTTGCAGGAGCTACCATAGATGGAGGACGATGCAACCTCTGTTACTGTTCGTCTATATCTGCCAGGCGTCTCATACTCATGACTTCTACATTTACGAGCCACATAGCCGACATACACACGACAGCGCATGCCACGTACTCGATGGTAGACGCGACAGGAGAGATAATTTATAATCTGTTGCTTTGGCTTATCACGCTACACCGCGTAGAGAGAGTAGAGGATCTGCCTATAGTCGTCCCCTCCATATCTAATTCGCTGTACTCCTGTGCTCTCCCGTGGACAGAAAGAAACCCAACTCGGAAGGTTGACTTCTTCATTGCTCCTACTTGAAACACAACATATTAGCTGATGATATCAAAGTAGAAGCGATACCTGTCGCTTGAGTCAACTTGAAAATACTTCCTACCTGAGATGGTGTACTCAAAATATTTAGGAACACTTCACAGCGACGACAGTTGTCACCTCGACGAATTCGATATACACCTCGTAGGTGTAGTACTCAGTAATCATTCTAGTATTTCTCTCATTCAAGAAGGTGATTAAACTATTATCAGGATTGACCAGAATTACTTCCCTCTCGTTCAAATTATATTCAGAGTGGAAGTACTGACCAGCCAAGTAGATAGAGACTGAATAAGTATCGAATAACAGCTCCAAATATCCAAACGGCGAATCACCGCACCACGTTCCGACGATACCATCGGTTGGAACGGTAGTATTATGAGGAGCAGTAGTATCAACAGCCTCAGAGGTGTCGACAACCTCAGTGGTGTCAACATACTCAGTGGTATCAACAGCCTCAGTGGTATCAACATACTCAGTGGTATCAACATACTCAGTGGTATCAACATACTCAGTGGTATCAACATACTCAGTGGTATCAACATACTCAGTGGTATCAACATACTCAGTGGTATCAACAGCCTCAGTGGTATCAACAGCCTCAGTGGTATTCGATATAGGATATTCGGTAGTCACGGGAGTAGGACCAACGGTCACCATATGACATGGGTAGGGCTCTCCGGCACATTCCTCGTCGCCACTGGCGTGACAGAGGCTGCCATCCTCCTTGACGATGATGCCAAAACACACTGGAGGGTCCTGCCAAAACTTACAGTATGATCCCCAGGAAGAATCCTTACAACCAACCATACCATCGCATACTTCCTGACAAGTTGTGTCAGGATACTCGTGACAGAGAACGGGTTGTAGAACAGAGTCGTCGCAATCAGCGTAGTAGTCAGAGGCTGGCTGGAAGCATTTACCCTCATCCTTATGGTAAAGGCCGAAGCAGACACCATTATCCTTACAGTAGGACTCAGTGCAACCCACAGTCTGCGCACACGAGTTCTCACAGTACTGTCCAATAGGCTCAACCTCATCGGCTGTACGGCCAGTCATACCTGCTACGGTGACGAGAACGACAATAAGGGCAGCGATGCGCATAGCAACAGGAGAAATTGAATAGAAACCCTAACACGATCACGACGGAATAGAACTTTGGCAATAATGTCACTCAACGTCACGGCACGAACTCGGCTAATTACTGACGTGTGATCTTTCGCTTGCCCTTCTGCGATCCAGAAACCGTCGACGAAATCTTACGGTTGCAGGATTTCCGCTCTCGCCCGCGCTGATGACCGGACATTGCAGCCATCGTCGGTGAGGCATTCAGTTGGATCTCGATTAATTATAGTAAGGCTGCGTGCTTTGTGCCAGCATGCCTGCGTATTTTCTTCCTCTTGCTTATGCTCGGGTATTCTTGTTACAGTGTAACAGATACACTGAGACTCAAGGCATGTAGAAGAACAAGCTTGTCCGTTCGCGATACAGCGTAACGTATTTGAATCGTTCCAGCATGTACTGCACCTCGGATATCATGTTGCGTGGATTCTTGAACCCTATTTTCAAAGAAATAAGATTCTGATACGTTAATCGAACCATGAATGTAAGCATTATCTTGACTGTGCATTGTAACAATATTCACACATTACCATTTGGATTGCAGATCCACAAGCGATTAACATTTATCAAACCGATGAATTGCCTGATAGCAAAGTTAGGTTCTAAGATAATCCATTGATCGTACTAAATTGTGGTGTATTCTATCGTGAATACCTGAAGCTCGAATATACGAATAATCACTTCACAAGCCTGGAAAGAAGCGTCGTTGCGAAGCGCGCATATCCATTATACGCACTGCGTAGTCAACGAGTGGCTTTCCATGGACGATCCATGAAAAATCGACAGAACAGATGATACTGGCAGCTTGAGTTTCAACGATGTGCCGCTCTACGAGCAGCAATCGACGTCACACCACTGGAGAACTTCGGCGGTGAACAATGCCATCTCATCGTATACCTTCCATCTCACAAACGAGAGACATCCTCCTTATAGACCATCCTGCACTAACTAAAAACAACTTGATAGACGAAGAAGAATCACTAAGGAACTCAACCTTACACTTGCCATGAAATAAAGAGCGATACCTGTCGCTTGAGTCAACTTGAAAATACTTGCTACCGAAGATGGTGTCCTCAAAATATTTAGGAACATTTGACAGCGACGACAGTTGTCACCTCGACGAATTCGATATACATCTCGTAGGCGTAGTACTCAGTAATCATTCTAGTATTTCTCTCATTCAAGAAGGTGATCAAACTATTATCAGGATTGACAAGAATTACTTCCCTCTCGTTCAAATTATATTCAGAGTGGAAGTACTGACCAGCCAAGTAGATAGAGACTGAATAAGTATCGAATAACAACTCCAAATATCCAAACGGCGAATCACCACACCACGTTCCGACGATGTCATCGGTTGGAACGGTAGTATTATGAGGAGCAGTAGTATCAACAACCTCAGTGGTATCAACAGCCTCAGTGGTATCAACATACTCAGTGGTATCAACATACTCAGTGGTATCAACATACTCAGTGGTATCAACATACTCAGTGGTATCAACATACTCAGTCGTGTCCACATACTCAGTGGTATTAGATATAGGATATTCGGTGGTCACTGGAGTTGGACCAACGGTCACCATATGACATGGGTAGGGCTCTCCGACACATTCCTCGTCGCCACTGGCGTGACAGAGGCTGCCATCCTCCTTGACGATGATGCCAAAACACACTGGAGGGTCCTGCCAAAACTTACAGTAAGATCCCCAGGAAGAATCCTTGCAACCAACCATACCATCACATACTTCCTGACAAGTTGTGTCAGGATACTCGTGACAGAGAACGGGTTGTAGAACAGAGTCGTCGCAATCAGCGTTGTACTCAGAGGCTGGCTGGAAGCATTTACCCTCATCCTTATGGTAAAGGCCGAAGCAGACACCATTATCTTTACAGTACGACTCAGCGCAGCCCACAGTCTGCGCACACGAGTTCTCACAGTACTGCCCATTAGGCTCAACCTCATCGGCTGTACGGCCAGTCATACCTGCTACGGAGACGAGAACGACAATGAGGGCAGCGATGCGCATAGCAACAGGAGAAATTGAGTAGAAACCCTAACAACACCACGATGAAGTAGACCGTCTTCATTTTTGATCATGTGTGCATGATCTCCGTTCAGTACAGAAATATGATATTTCGCTTGCCCTATTGCGATCCAGAAACCGTCGACGAAATCTTACGGTTGCAGGATTTCCGCTCTCGCCCGCGCGGATGACCGCACACTCCACCAACCCATCACAGTAGCAGCTAGTCGGAACTCGATTAGTGAGAGTAAGCCAGCGCGCTTTCTTCCTGCTGCCACTACTGCTCGGGTATTCTTGTTACACTGTGCCGCAATACACATGGAGAAATAAACTTGTCAGTTCGCGATACAACTTAACGTGCTTGGATCGTTCTTGCCTATATTGCATCTCTTACATCATGTTGCGTGGTTCATTGAACCTATACTCTCCGAGAACATATAAACTATTGATATGGTACTCAAGGCATGGATGTGAGCACTGTCTTCGCAGGGAATTGCAACAATATTCGCACATTTCCTCCCTCGTCGCAGATTTACGAGGGGGATAATACATCTGAGTATCAGACCAATTCACTCGACTCATTCAGTTGAAGCCCTCTCGTCCAATAAGTTGCCGAGGTAAATAGGTACATAAATTAACAACTATGACACTCAACGCTATTTCTGCATGATACGAATACCACAGCCAAATTCATGCCCAGTCACTTTGCAGATTGGTCACGTTCTCTTATCAGCTCCCGCCATGTATCCCTTGAGTAGAGGTTCTCCAAGTTGAATACATTCACCTGCGGAACCATGTACCATATCGTATAGTGGAGATGAGCTGACTGGCCTACCGCAGTCTCCGACAGCTTCTTCGAATCGCTAACATCCTTGGCCAACATTATTGTTATCACTGCGGCTTCATCTTCTGAGTCTACCAACTTCAGCCGAGTGATCAAGTCGGTGAACATCGAACAAGGGATGTCACCATTCACCGACACTCCACAGCTCTTAGACGCAGCTGATAGCAGTAGCGTCGACAGCGACTCCGTCATGACGAAATCACCTGACGCGTATCTAGTGTACTGCTTCCTCATAAGCAAACAGCTTATACAGTCTACAACTAATCAGGAACGATGATAAAAAATGCATTTTCAAGTTACTCACGATCATTGGGCGCAGTAGTTGCCTGCCTAACCCGTCGGTCGTCCTCAATCCACAGCGTTATCGCCTTGAAGAATGATTCCATTATCCAACTCAGTTCCTTTGTTGTCATCGGAGCATACCACGACGGAAGCGTTAAATAAAACGCATCTCCCAGCCTGACAACAACAGACACTCATCACGACCACTCACGCAAGCTTCTCACAAGCTCTCCGTTGCTATCAAGAACCACGCATCGTCTCTGCTGAGACCGAGCTCACCCGTGAGAAATACAAGCAGTTCCGTATCGTCAGGTGCACCTGTCGAATCATATCGAGCTACTAGGCAACAACCATACGCTTTTGGAAGGCCTGCAGGACCTCCGACATTTTGAAATGCTTTTTCCTCGCGCGCCAAACCAACCAATTCTGCAAACGTGTCTGTAGAAAACAACAATCGATTAATCGATTCTGTCAATATTCTTACAAATCTCTCCGGATCTATAGAGGGCTTCCCGACTTGATCCGCCAACAAGAATAAGTCAACCCAAGCCACCAAAGGGTCCCCATTCTTATCACACAGCCCCGGACTGGTGCCTGCTACCAACACTCATAATATACCATCTCGAAATCATCAACTGCAGGCTGAAAATGGTTGAACACCCTCAGAGGATTGCCCAGGCCCCGACAATACAGCCGAGCCGTATGCATCACAGTGATTCCACGTTGCCGAAGAGACGATCAAAGACAACATCACATCAACAGTAACAGGAGGTAAAACGACACATAAATCACAGTTGGGAAGCAGTCGAGACCTGTATCGAACCAACTCACAACCTAGTATATGTTCTGGCATAAATCACAATAGCAAATTGTGTCATCGAGTTTCCACTACGATGATATATTCACCCAAGACGGACAGAGTATTCCTCAACTTTCGACCA